TTAGCTGCAGATCATTTCTGACAAAGAGAATTTTTCATTCGTCGGATTTTGAAATTTCCTCTGCAGAGCAGCGTGCAAACATCAAATTCTGCGTTTTGCTCGAGAAATCGCCTTCTGAGAGGCTGAAGAAAGCATACGGAAACGATGCCATGAAAAAAACGGCTGTGTACGAGTGGCATAAGTAGAGGGAAAGTAGTGTTGGAGGTTTTTTTCGATTACGATAGCGTTATTCACTACGAATTTATTCCTGAATGCCAAACTGTCAATAAAGAACTTTACCTGGAGATCCTTAAACGACTACGAGATGCAATCAGACGTAAACGACCTGAAAAATGGGCAACAAACGATTGGTTTCTTTTACACAACAATGCTCCACAACATCGCACTCTGATTGCGAAAAATTACTTTGCCAGACAGACTGTTACCACTCTGGAACACTCTTCTTATTCTCCCGACCTAGCACCAGAGGATTTTTGCCTGTTTCCACGGCTGAAAATGAAATTGAACGGACACCGTTTTGTGGATTCAGATGAGATGATCGAAAATGCGACGAAGCAACTGAAGGACTTCTCGAAAAATGGATTCCACAAGTGTTTTTAACAGTTATACGAAAGCTGGAAAAATTGTGTGGATGCAGGAGAAAAATACTTTGAAGGCCAATAAGGTAAAATTATTCTTCTATTTTTTAATAATTTGTAATTGACCTATTCCTGGAACTTTTTGACCCTACCTCGTATGAAGGCTTCTGCCAGAATACTTGTACTCTAATTCTGAAAAATATTTTTTTCCTGGTTTGGAAAAAAAAATATGAGTTCTGAAGCATTCTAATTTTGTCATATATATAAATAAGGAGAGAAATATATTGTTCTTTTTCACATAATTAGACATTTCTTCTTTACGTAGTCATTTCTTCGTCAAACTAAATGCATAGATAAATCCTTTAAAGGGTCATTTTTTTTTAGTAGTGGTATAGTAAAATAACTTTTGGAATGAGATTAATTTAAGAAAAGAAACTCATTTTGCTTTTTGGGTGGTAATAAGTTTTGTTAACTAATTTTATTAACCGATAATTAATTACCAAGTCAAGACACTTCGTTGTGGTTTGAGATAAGAAATTGGAAGGCATAAAATTTCGTTTCATCGAAAAATTTGGCGAGAACTGACGCCAACCTTAAAAAATGCATTTAAAAATACATGAATTTGGCGGCAAGTATACTTGCCTCGGCCTTAGAAAGGATTTAGTAATTAGATGGAACAAATTTTAACCCGCATTTAAAACAATATTGAATTCCAAATCAATTAAAACTTCCTTAGTTAAAGTTATTACTTAAGCTCATTTTTTCAGATGAGCTAAAATATTATTTATTAAGTTTTTCTATTTTCTTATAATGTTCTTCTTTCTTTTTTCAGCATGTTTTAACCCTCTGACTCCTAAGCCGGCCGTAACCGGCCATGCAACTTCGATACTAGTGGGGCGGATTTCGGCCGGTTACTGTTTCGAAAGCGGGGAGAAGGCAGTTGGGCGAGTTGGGCTTGGGGTAGAGATAAGAGATTAAAGACCTTCCATTCACTTCTTCGACCACCCGTAGTGAGGCAAAAAGGCGAAACGGGGTGGACGAATCTATTTCACCTATTCATTAGTAAACAAACCTCCGTATACAACTGTACTCAGATTTTGAGAACCTTCAGTGGTCAGAGGGTTTATCCAGTTAACATGCCGCTGGCCATAAAGTGCGCTGTGCCAATTTAATGTTGAAATCAATGCATATTTTACATCAGGAATAAGAAAGTGAAATTAGTGCCGACAACGTGGAATTAGAGGATAAATGTTATGGTCAGTTATTTGACTCCCATATGTACAGTTATATAGACAATGAACAGAATAAGTCCAAGGTCACTAATAAAACATGAGTTAAATATCTACTTAAAATTACGTTGTTAAGTGAACCATGATGCAAGATTCAATTGAAATCATATTCCCGGTGAACAAGCTGAAGGCAGCTAGATTATAAATATTTCAAAACTATAATTTTATTTTTGTACAAACTACCAAGAATCTAATAAATTGCTTTGTAATGAATAAGAAATGAATGTAAAGAAACTTGTTATAAATTCTAAAAATAATATACATTTATTCAACTTTTTTACAAACCAAAATTGAACTGCAATTTTTTTTTCCGACAATCAAAATATAAAAACAGAAAAGTGAAAGATGAAAAGTTACAAAATTTTGTTTTAATGACATGCATTAGAAACTTTGTAGTTCTTTTGTATTTTTAACCAAACAGAACGTGATTTTCCAGGTTTTTGAATTGATAGTACTTTCATTTGATAACCACTCGATATTAATTATTACTAACTGAAAATTGAATAAGAGGCAGAGACTATTATTTATGTTACCAATTTCTTTCCAGTATAATTCCCTTGTTCTGCAAGTTGTTGCCTTAAAATGGTGGCAAGAAGTTACGGTGTATTCTTGGGAGTTAATTATTTTTTCTTGTTATTTTTTTGCTAGTTATTATATTTCCTTTTTTTATGGAGTTTAGTTTTTCTTTACTCTTTCATTTCGGGATTTTTCTGGCCACAGGAGGCTAATATTGACACTTTGCCAAGCTTCTTACAGAAGAAAACCCTGAATTGTTTTTAAACTCTTGCTGTGTGTGGCTCTTGAGAAAGTGCATGACCGAGTTCCTCTATTTTGAAGTTTTGTTCTTTTTTATCTTTATGCGGGTGTATATTAGGAAATTAAGAGGACTAGGGACCTTCAAAATCTTTTTTTTTTAATTTTTGACTATTTAATTTGAAATTTTGCAGGCATTAATAGGATTATTATATAACACAACGCGCGAAATTTCACTGCACGATATTAATTTATTTCTGAATTATGGGTATAAATATAATTTTTAATAACATTTAATGGCCTTTATGATAAATGTGCATGCAATTCAATTTTTATGCAAATTTCATGGCATTTTCTATAAGTATAAAATCAAATATATATAAGAATTTTTGGCATTCATATAGAAGTTATTTTGTTATTAAACTGTAAATATTTTCTTCCATCCCAAATATTGAGCATATTTTTTTCCCAAATTGATAGTTTCGAGTTATTATGTGTGTTCACTTTGATCTTCTTTTCTGAAACATAAAAATTTATCCCAAATTTTTTAAAACGGCCGGAGTAACTAATAAAATTAGAGTGATTTTAAGTTATTTTGGAGGGCTTTGAACGTTTATCATAAAGGCTATTAATTGTTACTAAAAATTCCATTTAGACCCATAGCGCAGAAATAAATAAACATATTGCAGTGAAATTTTGTGTGCTGTGTTATATCATGCTCTTATTATTGCCCACAAAATTACAAACTGTTTGATAAAAATTTTTTAAAAGATTATTTTGAAGGTCCATGATCGAGAAACTCCCATTGCATTCTATTTGTGATTTTAATTATTGTACGATTTTGAATCACATCTTACAGATCAGAAAAAATAAGCCGTGACTTGACGATGCTTGAAACCTGGAAATTGTAAATCAATTAGATATTTAAAGAGCCTTTAAAATACCAACATACAATGACTCCAGATAATGACAAAATCAGACTTTGGGTGGAAACTTCGCCCGCAAACTTTGGTATTTGAAACTAGAGCAGTAACTGCTACATCAACCAAAACGGCATTGTTATTGAAAGTAATATGAGCTTAATTCATGTTCACGTGACGAACGTAAAGTGGATGAACGGAAATTTTGAATCTACTGCGTTTTGCGCAACTGTTGCACTTTTGGTAATGATAATGAACGAGATTTATTTTTGCTTCATTTCATTTTATTAAATACATTAAAATTTTTATGCGAGTTCATTTTGCCTAATTCGTATAGCATCTTTTATATTCACATTAGAATCACTTCGAGCACAATTCGAGATAGTCTAATTTAAGATGTTTTTATATAATTTGCAATATTCTCACTTAGTGTAAGTTAAGTTATTTATTATATTACGTCGTATTTTATATACGTTAGTGAGAATATAGACACACCGATGTCTATGTTCTCACTAACGTATACACTTTTATATCTAAGATAACACAGTATGTACTGATTTAAACTTTAAAAACTCGTCTTTGAATTTTTAAAATCCTTTCTTTTCGCAACCCAGGATAGATAAAACGTTTTGCTTATTATATTGATTTTGTTTTATGCATTATAGCAGCTAAAATTTGAATAATAAAGCATTTTTTATCTCATAAAGTTTGCGCAGAAGGTAAATAATATGAGCACACAGCGTGAAATATCACACGGCATGTAATATTTTACAAGTGTGATAACTAGTGCAATAACTAATTACGCGTTTATTGGACATGCAAGTTACGTTTTCACGTGACAGTTAAGCCACACGAAAAGACTGAATTCAACAACTAATGTGGTAATTTAATCTGAAAAACAGCATGGGCCGCGGTGGCCTAGTGGTAAAGTCAAAGTTTCAGGGGCAAAGAGTACCAGGCTCGAAACCCGATTCTGCTGAACATCCACCGTGTATGCGGGCCCGTTGCCCACAATCCATACATAGGGACCCAAACGCCCTCGGTGTGGTGCCCACAACCCACTCCATCGACCCACCCTTAGGCTTAAAGTTGACAGGGATGGACGGAGTGTTTTACAGACCAACAGCACTCGGTGTTCCCAGGTGCAGGAACGGCTCGGGGCCCGGACAAACCGGGCAGCTGCCCGTGGCGCCGAATTCCGGGATTGTGAAGCTAAAAATTGCTTAATATACTTGGGAAATAAAGTAAATATTTTTTAAATTAATTTAGTTAATATATTGTTTTTGCTTCTTTCGATGACCTCTATATAATCTTAAATATATCTAAAGTTTAAAAATTCTCACCATAGTAGAATTAAGTCATATTTGCAAATAAAATGCGTAATTTTAAGTAAGGTTTTGTTTGATATTTCGAATAGAACCATTATAAAATTAAAAATAAAATACATTGGAAAAGGGGGTCCCAAGTACTGATCGCGCCCAATGCTGCTTAACTGCGGTGATCAAACGAAAACTGGTGTTTTCAGCATGGTATGACCGTTGGTGTCGTGCTGAAGCTTGGAGACGGGGCATTAGCTCACTTGTCGTTCTCGTCCTCTGACCGCGGCTGAAAACTTCGAGGCCCATTGCAAATAGCCCTCGTGTTGCTTCAGAACGGGAAGTTAATGTAACTAAACTAATCCGAAAGACGGTATGCTTCATTCTTCCTTCTAGTTAGTATATTTTAGAAAAATCGTTGTAACTACGCATGTGCAGTAGATATACCAATATTTAGGTGCTACTGAATCGTTTCAAGTACTGACAAAAGAGGACGGAAAATGAATAGAACTTTGTTTTCATAAAGGACAAGATATGGAACTTTTTAGATTACGATACGATGAGCACTCTTTCTAAAGAAAGTTATACTGAAATTATTCTATAATTATTTTAATTGCAAGGACGGAAATTTTTACAGAAATAAATTATGTTATAATGTAAAAGTTATTTCCACGATATGATTGAATAAAAATATTACTAAGAATGTACTATATTACTAGGGTATTATTCTATTCTATGCCGGCTTTGTTAAATTTTGCTATTCATTAAAAAGTTAATTACAAAGAATATGTTAGAACAACTAGACAGGGGAAAATAATATTTCGAAATAAATAGAAAGAATGAAATAATTTTAAACGAGATCAGGCCCAGGAGATGTGCGTACAAAGAAATTTAGAATATGTTCTAATACATATGCTTTGCATCAGTATTAAACTGAAGTGTTCAGCCGTTTATTTCATTTGCTTTCAAAATACAGAACAGAATGCCGTCTCTTACCCCCGTACCCGTGACCAGACAGGTCACTGAACGGTTTGATGGGCAAGACACGGGAATTTTATTTAAGAAAAACAAAATAAACAAAAAGAAGGGAATATATACACTAAGTACAACACAGGCATTTCCACTTTTACACTATAAGTTCGTAAGAGTCTTTTCTTTAGATGATGTTATACCTTTCTATTATTTGAAGGGGGAAATGTCCGGTAATTGAGCTAATAAGTTCATCTCGCTTGAAAGTTGAAGGCTAGGGAGGCCGGAAAAGATCTCTGTTTTCGCTAATGAATTTGATAATCCCACGAATTTTATGCCTGGAGAGGAGGTTATTGGCGACCCTTTTCAGCCATTCTTGTTCGAAGTTTGCCGCTGGCTTCCTCATATGCCAAGACACTGTATAGATACACTCCGTGGCATAGTGAAGTGCCGTTTGCTGTCATCGATTTCGTTTCTACAGAAATGGTTTTATTTGGCGACAAACCTTTAAGAGCGCAAAATGTTTACTCCGAACTTCACCAGAAAGAGTTCTCAAATAAACATTTTAAAGAAATGTATTTAATCCCTTTTAGAATATCCATTCGTTTCGTAACGAAAATTATTTTGCTCGTTCAGGTTCATTACACATGAACAATGTTAAAAGCAATATCGTTTCTGAATTGTTAAAATATTGCTTCTCATTTTTAGTTTTGTTACATTTTAAACCGGTCTATCCATTCATAAATCATATTCAATGTTTAAAGAATAACTTTGATACAACAACACTAAAATTTAGAGACTCTGTCTTTATGCAGTATTAATATTCAGCCTATGGGTACGACTGATCATTAAAATATTTCGCTATTGATACGCATCTCGCTTGGATATTGATTATGTGTCAAGAATAACATTTTAACAAATATCTCAATACGCAGAAAAGTCACGCCATAACATTTCCTGAATAATAGCAAGCAACGGGTTATGACATTAGCAAAATTTCTGCATAGTGATAATGAAGAATGACATGAATTCAGAAACTCAACTTCATCACATATTAAAATGTAGTTCGTTGTACTTGGGAAAAGCATTTTAATGAATCGATCTATTCCGAACTTAATGCAGAAAAATCTCAAACAAGCAGCTCTCTCTATATTTTCAATGAAATCACCTACTGTTCAGCAACGGATGCCGAGACTACCACTTTTGGACAATTTTACACCGGAAAGAGGTGTCAGGTAATGAGTCATATGAGCGCATTTCCGAAGTTCTTTGTTAGATCACGCTCAGTAAAATGTAAACATCACCCTTCCATTCTTCCATTCATCTTCTACTAGCAGTACGCGCACGGCGATGCCCGTGGAATCAGGACTTCAACAAAATAAAAAAAAGCCCACATACAATTGCATAAATGAAAGATTTAAAAACTAAATCAAAACAGAAATATATATATATTATTGAGTTGGTCCGCCTCCTTTTCCTCTCGACCGAGTACCGTTAAATCCAAATAATGTTAAAAAATTACAATGTGATATTTATTACACCGCGAGCAAAGTATGAAAGCCAAAGAAATAAGTTGATACGCTTAAAAATAATAATCGAAGTCATGGAGTAAATACATCATCTCCTCGCAGAACGCGAAAGTAATGACGTCACCCTGGCCCTTCAGCCAATGAAATTGCCCGCAACGTTCCGGAGACTGTCGTGGGCGGAAGCTTCGCTACAGGAAACATATCGTTCAACTATCAGGAAAAAATTAATTTTAAAAAAACTAAAAAAGATATTTTAACCATTCTCGTTTTAAATCCGACAGAACCGTTGCAGTTATAAGCTGAAAAAAATTGAAAATAATAGTGTTATTAGAAAGTCGGATGCAACAAATTTAAAAACAGAACCAACATTTAGGTGCAAAACTGACTGATTTTTAAAAAATTCTCAAAATTCAGTAATTTAAGATAGAAATTCAAAACTAACTTCATTAGAACGGAAATCGCGTGCTCTTTCCGATGGTCTATCTATTTTTGTCGTACAATTATTTGAAACCATTCTAATGAGAAATTAGTGCGAAAAATCAACCAAAACAACACAAAACATTAAATAAAAAAAATTCTAGATTAAAATTTAAAATTTCGGCTTCGAGGTGCACTCAGTCACCATTACGACTATCTGTGTGCCAAATTTCATGGCTGTAAGTGCGATAGATTCGTCTGGACATCGCAGACAAACACACACACACACACGCACACACACACACACGCACACAAACATTGCCTTTTATAAGTATAGATAATTCGCAATTCACTTTCCCCCTATTTTGACAAAAATAACTCTGCCCGGCGCATGCGCAAAAGCGCAGAGGGTTTTCGAATTCGTTGCTATACAATCTATATATATAAAACGCTTATGTGGACGTAAAATCGGGGCGAATTTAAAATCGCCGTTTGGCAACAGCTCGAAAGTTTGGTTTCTTTACGTTTGAAACGCCGGAACTCTTTTCGAGATTTTTTTTGAGTTAGATAGTTTTAATTAAATAAGTTTGAGTCGTACAGTTTGGATTAGACAAATGAATGAATGTGTGCTTAAAACTGAATGTCCTCTTTTGCTAAAAGTTTCTAAAAAATTGGTTTATTCATATCTCGACATTTAAGAAACATAAATAACTATCCAGAGAAAAATGGTGTGCCTTCCTTAACTTAATAATAATTGGAGAGAGTGTGTTTACATGTGCAACATTTCGTTTTAAAAATTGCATGTTTAAGATTTTGCTGGGAAAAACAATGTTTGAAAATTTTGAAAAAGGATATCTAATCAATTTTAAAATGCTAAGGGTAAATAATTATTATGGGTTTAAATTTTGAATAGTTAATATGAACATGTTTCAAGCCACTTTTTTCTATAAACTGTCCTTTTTCAGATAAAAAGTTGCGAGATGGGTTACATCATTCTTCTACAAATTAGAATTTTCTAAGATTTAAAACACAAATGTACACTGCACTGAGAAAAACACTATACCTTTCTTGACTAAATAATTATTGGAATAAGCATGTATGTAAGTGGGGAAGCTTTTGTGAGCAATATTTAGTTCAAAAGTGGGAATGTTCCAAATTTTGGTGGAAAAAGCAATTTTTAAAATTTTTTTTCGAAGATTTGGAAAAAGGCTATCTTATCACTTTTAAACTTAAAACTTTGGTGGAATGAAATTATGTTGAAATAAACTGTTGAAGAATTAGTCAAAAGTGTATGCCAAGAACTTTTAAATAACAGATTTCTGATTGATGAAAATAATTTTGATTTTTAATCACCTTTGAATTATAAACATTAACATTCAAATTTCTCTCTAACATATATATATATATATAACTGTGCTACGAGAAGATTTTAATTTTAATAATTTAGGAAAAATTAATTTTAGGAGTTCATGCATTTTCAGATAATTCAAATTTACTTTCAGTAATTAATGTATTTATAATTTCCTATTACTAGCAGAAATGCATAACTGTATGGCGAGCGAAGGGAGCTGGGATCACGTGGTGGTCTTGAAAGAATCACAGCGTGATTCTTGGGGGTTGGCGAGCAGGGGGTGTACTATATATATATATATATATATATATATATATATATATATATATATATATATATATATATATATATATATATATATATATATATATATATATATCTTTATATATATATATATAAAGATTTTACAAAAATTGTGCTAGGACACGCAGTGATCTTCATTGAAGCGAGCAAGGTTTGCGTAGCAAACCCCGGGGGATTGCAAGGCAATCCTTCTGGGGGTTGGCGAGCTTCATCGAGAAGGGGGCAGAGCCCCCTAGTATCTATATATAACTAGTAAGAGCAATATAAAAAAAATCAATATTTAAACATGTAAACAGAATGGTAAAAACGTATGGGAGATTATTATACTTAAGGATGGCTGTACTCACGGATATAAATCAATATTTTAAGATAAAAATAGATTTATTTGTGAAAAAGTGCTTTCTAGAAAACCATTTAAAAGTGATATACATTTTCTACTGCGCAGGAATCAAATTACAACTATTCTTTGATGTCTCGGAAAATGGGGTTAATTTTCATCACTTTTCATGACTTTCGAGATCATTTCGAGAAAAGTTGCTTGTATTTCTCTAATAGAAAAGCTTTTCTGATTTTTTTTTCTTCGTTAAGTGATTACTGTAGATACGTTTTGGATCAAACTTTCGATCACATACAAGTTTAATAAGAAATTATAAT